GACCCCCTGCTTCGCTCTCTAAGTCCCCTCGCATCCCTCCCTTCTTCCCCTCCCGCATTCTTAGGAAGAGCCGCGGTGCCTGCCCTCCCTGCCGGCATCAGGTCTGCTGAAACCTTTCTGCTCCTTTGCCACCTCTTCTTCAGGTTCTTGAATGCTTGCACCCTGCCTCAGCGCTGCCCAGCAGGCTGCTGCAGGCACCTCTGTACCCATTGCTTGCCTCGGATGACACCTTTTCCTTGCCTTCAGGGCTCTCCTGGCTGGGCCCCACCTACGCTTTGGGTCCTCTCCTTTTCCTTATGCCTGTCAACTCTTTTCTGCTCCCCCCCCGAAAATCGCTTCTTCCTCACTAGCAGCTCTGCCTTTGCTCACCCTCCTTTCTCGCCCTGCCTGTTTGCCTCGTGATCTCTCTCTCTCCTTTTAATTAACTCTTCAGAATTGGTTTTTGGCCAGCTTTGTACCAGTAATCTCCTCTTGCCGCTCCCTTTTGCACCTGACCAGAGGAGGGTTGGGAGAACCAACTGCAGACAAACCGCCCCTCGAAGTCAGGGTAACAGCTGACTCCTTAATGGCTGTGGCATGCACACTTAATCCCAGTAAGATGCTCTTTCCTGGCTGGTCTCTGCTCCAGACACTTGTCAGTCAGGGTGCGAGGAGGTTGAATCCCCCGCCAGGAGAGCTGTTTCAGCAGGCACTCTTCTTAGAGCTCCAGTTACACCAGGTAGCTCATTTTGCATTGGGAAATGTGTGCAAGGATTGTACCCTGCCTTGCCACTGTGTAGTATCAGCAAAATACACATTTGGTCTCGGGGGCTTTTATTCATTTATTTATTTCCCTCTAGGAGGACAAATGAGCTAGCTCTGTTGTCTGTATGTGAGATTGCAAGGTCTTTGTGTCAGGGCTTCTGCTCTGTTTTACTTTGTGTTTGGAGAGAGGAGTAGGGATTAGCACAGCAAAATTGATTTTTCTGGGAAACATCACTGCAGGCAAACTGGATTACAGCTTTTCTGAGTTCCTGGGAAGGTGGCTGCTGCCCTGCAGGGCTGTGGTGGAGACAGTGTTGGAACCGTGTTCCTCTTGGCTAGAAATCTTGCAGTCTGCCAGCCTCCACGGATCTGAATACCTTGTCCCACATGATGCTCTTCCAAGTCTTATCTTTTAAGAACAAGCTGTGCTTGTGCAGCCAGAGTGGAAATCCTCACAAGCCGCTGGAGGTAGCTGGACTTTGTAGGCAAGGAGAGTGGAGCGTGAGGAAACAGCTAGGGAAGGAGACTGGAAAACTTCTGTGAAGAGTTTCCACTTCCACTGCACCTGTATTGGAGAAGGTGCAGCATGAGGGAGTTCATCTGAGAAAGTGGGAATGTCCTGTGCAGACTTGCATGGAGGTCAGGAGTACCCGTGTGCGCTGCCTCAAGCTTGATACCATTTCTGTTAGTTTTGCAAGAATAAGTGTATTTAAATCCGTTTGGTCTCATGTAAAATTAGGCTAGTGAAAAGGGTACGTGTGCCACAGGATGGGTTTTACTGGTTTCCCTCCCTTTGTGAACTTGTTCTGTGAGCCTGGAGAACCAGTCCTAAGGGTGAAAACACTTTCTTTGCTCCCATTCCCTGCAGCCTTGTATATCTGACTGATGACTAGAACGCGAGACAAGAAAATCAAGCCCATTCAAATGACCCAATTTTTTGTAGCTGATCTGTGGAACTCTGAGCTGCAGGTAACGGCTTTGCCAGCTGAAAAGACACGTAACTGTTCCCAGGCATACAGGATCCATGAACAAATTTGGCTGTGTCCCTGGGTTCTGCAAGACCTTATTGCTCAGGGGAAGAAGGCAGTAGGAAATTACTCCATAGCCCTGCGTTCTCTAGTCCTTAGAGGCATAACTGCTAACTACAGCTCATCAACAGAATAATTAACTAAATTCCAAATGCAGCCTTGGAGCTGGCTTCTCTTGTGAAATATGGTCAGGATGTCTCCCAACTCCTGGGCACGGGCTGCAGGTTGAATTTCTTTGGCCGGTGCAAGAGGGTGAGTGGAAGGCCGAACAAGGGGAACGAAATTCATGGCCTGCGTGCAGTAATTCCAGCTGAAGGGCGTCTGCAAGCCTGGCTGCAGTGGTGAGGAATGGAGGGGGCACTTCAGCCTGGCAGATTAGCAGGCAGAGCCAGCCTGTAGCTGGGCAGGGCTTGGCACATGTTGCATTCGAGAGAGCTGCTGGCAGATGCATTCTGTAAAAGTCAGAGTGCCCTTTTTGATGCACTCATATCTGCCTTGGCAGAGGGTGCCTGTGCAGCTGTTCACACCCCGTGTGCAAGGCACGGGGAGGACAGAGGGAGCAGGAGCGAGGGGACTGCAGCCCAGGAGCAATTCGCCTAAAACCTCCCACCTCTTAATCACCTCTTCTCTTTCCCCTTCTTTTCTCTGCACTTCCTCTCTTTGACTTGGTACTTCGGGAAAAGAGCATGACCTCTGAACACTACTGCTGTTAGCATCCCTCTACTGATTTTCTTGACTAGGCTGCCGTACGCAATGTGCAGGAAGGTGGCAAGCTGTCGGCATGGGTCCCTGTTGCTATTTGAAGGGGGTTTGATTGCCAGGAAGGGGATTTTGAGGTGTGTCTTTTCCTCAGGGGGTTGCGGAAGGTCAGTGGGAAGGCTGTGTGAGAATACTGTACTATTTCCAGCGTGCTTTCTAGGACTGTAAGACCTCACAGGATTACTGTAGCCTGCTGGCCCAAGATCCTGTGCAACAGCCCCATAGAATTTCCCTCCTGGTTTGGAGTAAAGAAGGTTTTGATTTGAATAGTATCAGTGACCATATCCTTACAGCAAGACATTAAGGTGTCTAAATATATTCAATTACTTTAAGACTGACTGCTTGTTTTTCAGCCTGAATAGACTTCAGCTTCAGGCTAATAACTCTTGCTATGTCCCCTGTTGGATAAATAGAAATGCCACCCAAAAATATGGGTACTTTGACTGGGATCAAGTCTTTCTTTAGCCCTCTTTTTCTTAAGGTCATGGAGCAAATGCTCTCTTTGCATAAGACAGAATTTTTGATTCCAATCCTGCTTCCTCAGAAATCACTTTAGGGTCTAACATTGTTGTTGAAATGGAGATTCTAACACTGAACACAGGATAAAAGCAGTGCAATCCGTTTCTGTACAGTATTTCTGCTTGCAAGTATAAGAATCCCAGTAATATTTTTTTCTATGGCATTGTGATGGGAGTTTGCCTCCACCTGATGATCCCTGTGGCCCTGAAATCCTTTTTTGACTTGCACATCAGGTGTATTTGGCCTTTGTTTCTTCAATACAAGACCTTATGTTTGGCCTTTTTGGATTGTTTAATGTTTGCTTGAATCTAGCTTCCAAATTGATCCAGATTACTGTGTATTAGTAACTCTTGTTATTTGTCCAGTTTGTGTATCATGTACAAACTTCTGCCAGGGACTGTTTTTTTTCAGATCCTTGATAAAAATAGTCTGTAACGAAGAGGCAAGAACTGACTTTTCTAGAACTTTACTAGACCAGAGAAATACTGAATGACTATTCTTTACTTTTGGAGCCCTGCCAGGTTTATTAATTTTAAAGTGCTGCAGAGTTCATTTTGATATCATTATTGTTTAAGCAAAATGTTGTGCAGTATAAGTCTATGTTTACGGGAGCCTGTTGCAATCAATATTGGGTTTCCCCTGAACAACAGGATATTACTGTGAGCAGATCTATTTTTGCCTCATTTTTGCTTTTCCTGGAGTAGTTTACTTTTGGCCGCTTAAAAGATGGGGCAATGTGGGACTCTGTTCTTGTGTAGTAAAGCCTTTTACATGTTTTTATTATGATAGACGTGTACTGGGTGATAATGCTGATTGCCCAGTGAATGCGTGTATGTGCAATGAAAGGAGACTTTGGGCCAGTGGGCCTTCTCTTTCCATGTGCCAAATATCTGTCCTTCATCCTCTGAGAGTCATCACAAAAGTAGGTGCCCGTGGAAACACACCAGTGGTAGATAAAGGAGTGAGAACAGTGAGAAGAACATGATTTACAGTTAGTGGAAGTAGAGGAAAAAGAAATTGTGTCGTGTCTGAGCGATATTCTTCCACCCGCGCTTTTCTGTGGATGTGGTAAGGTCGGTCGGTACCCCAGGGCGCGCGAAACGCAAAGCGTGCGTTACTTCATGGTGCGTTCTGTGTCTGGTTCTGTTTTTAGGAAGAAGTACCAAAAGGTGCTAGCCAGTGTTGTTGTTATCCAAAAGAACTACCGCGCATACTTCTGGAAGAAGAACCTGCTGCGACTGAAGGCCTCTGCCGTCACCCTGCAGAAGCACTGGCGTGGTCGCCTGGCTCGAAGCCTCTACCAGCACCTGCTGCAGCAGGAACTCAGGCGGAAGCAGGAAGCGGAGGAGAGAAGGAGGCGAGAAGAGGAAGAACAGCTCAGAAGAGAGGAAGAGGAAAGACAATGGCAAGAAGAGGAGGAGCGTAGGAGGAAGCGGGAAGAGGAAGAGGTGAAGGAAAGGTACAAGATGGTATCTTGCACTTGTAGTTCCCTAGCACTCAAGCTGCTGAGGTGTAAAAGCGGGTCTGGGGCACTGATACGATGGTACCACTGGAACAGGAGTTGCATGAGCAAGTGTCCCAGTTCAGGAGGCGGAGATGGGGTGGGCTGTGGGCAGCTTAGGATAGAAAAGCAGCATGGAAAAGAAGTGTCCTGCTGCCTTTAGGAAAGCTAATTCTGGTGCATTTTTACCTCTGTTCTGTGTTTTCCTGCTTTGGAACGTACATAAAAGGAGACGCTTTCACTGACTGGGCAGAGATGCGTGATTTTCTCATTGCCTTTGCAGTGGTAAAGGAAGTTTTATGCAGCCTTCCAAAATCTGGAGGGAGTAGCAGTGTGAGAAGGTACCAGTATCATGGGTCTTGGTATGTCCAGTAAGCTGGGTCTGAGAGCAAGATGGGCAGAGCAACCTGTGCTTAAACTTATGAGAACTCACATGCTCTTCCTTTTCCTGCTGCTGTGTATCTCTCATTCAGGGTCTGGATTTATCAAGAGATCTGTCAGGGAAAGGAAAAGCTGAAGTGACAAAAAGCGGCAATCTGTGAGCAGTAGACAATACACCTGTTGAGAATCCTGCCCCTCATGCATCATTTACTGCTCACTCCATCGTTACCTACATCCTGTACAAATTGGGTGTCTCTCTTGATAATCTTTTGTTGTAAGAAACATAAAACTTCAACTGTAAGATCATTATACAAGTTTCAACAAACAGTCCTGTGACATTTTAAGTTTTTTGTAAATGGTGGGTTACATTTCTTATGGGCTTTTGTTAAATTCTGAAGTTGGGTCTTGGCAGACAAAGACATGTGACAAGCATAAGAAAATTCTCGGGTTAGAATTTTAGTTTGCTTATGGTTTCGCTGGAGACAGTGGGGTGATGTATCTGCAGGGGCAAGACATGGAGTCAGTGACACCAGTGGTGACCAGTTTGGTGAAGGAATTTGTTGAACATCACCGAAGGCTCCATTGTCAATTTTCAACAACAGCCTCATCAGCAACAGGAAGCTGTGCAAGTCCAGAATGTCAATAACTAGTTTGCAGATATGAAATGCTATGGATACTCTCTCCAGTCTGAAGCCCTCATTTTACTAAGTAGAACTTGTCCCTACCTATTTTTAGATTAAAGGACCTATTTAGCTTATTCTTTGTAGTGTGACATGACACATGTGTTGAACCCAGCATCATAGTAGAGAAGTGTCAGCGTCTCTAGCAATCAGACAAACTGCTCCTTTTGCTTTTATTTTCTTCTTGATGTCTACAACTTCATTAAGAGAGCATAGCCAAGAAGGTAGTAGCAGGCCAACTTGGCTAAATCATTGAACTTCTATTTGACCTCAAAAATGAGATGGAAGTCCACACAAATTGCAGATCAGCTGATCTACTGAGCACAAGCAAAGAAGCCCCAGCACACGTGCAGAGACAAAATTAGAAGGACCAAGATGCAACCCGAGCTTTAACAAACTAAAAGGTGGCATGCAGTTGTTGTGCATGCACTGTTAGTAGTGGGGACCCCTGGAGCAATTTAGTCTACTGTTCAACAGGAATTAAAAAATAGAATGTTGAGAAAGCTGAGGTATTCAACGCTATTTCTATTTGTCTTCCCCAAAAGGCTTAATTATTGGACACTAAATACAATTAGCATAGATGTGCAAGAACTCAGAACCTAGCAAATAGGTTAGAGAATGCTCAGGTAAATCAGATTACAAAGAAGTCATCTGGACTTGGCAAAATTAATGTTTGGGTACTTCAAGAACCAGCTGAAGCAGTTTGAATCAGTAGCTGTTCTCCTTCTCCTCCTTTGTGGATAACAGAGTTCCCATAAAACTGGAAAACTGCAAACATAATGATCCCCTTTTAAAATGGCAAAAGGAAGAACAAGGGAATTGTGGACTGGTCAGCCTAACATCAGTTTCAGGCAGATACTGAAACAAATAATCAAACTGTCGTAAATGCTTGATAAAGGAGTTAAGAACCAATGTGGGTTTCTGAAGAACAAACAGCGTTAAAGTTACCTGTTTCCTTCTGTGATAGCTTGTGACATGCCTTGTAGATAGGGAAAAGCCATAATAGGGTAGGTAACTTGGTAGGTAGAGGGTATGTAAGGGCTTTGACATGTTATTACAGTACTCTTAAGACACTATAAGGAATGTGGTTTGGAAAAAAGTGAAGCAAGACTAGGATTTGTGTTTTTATGACATTGTATTATTGCATTTTAATTAGTAAACAATAGTAAGTTGTTGTTCAGCAGAAGAGAACTCTTGAATGGGATTCTTCCATGCTGGATATGATCCTAGTGCAGTGTTTTCATAATAAGTCCAATGAGGAAATATGAGTATTGTTATTAAATTTGCAGATAAAACTGTCTGGTGAGGGTCTGTAACTATATAGCTAGACAAGATTACAATTCAAATAATTTGGGCAAATTAAAGAAACGATCTGAAAAACATAGGATGACTTCCAATACAGACGTACGCAGATCTACAGTTAGGAATGATCGAATTCACAGCGAGAGGAGGAGGAATGCCTACTTCAACAGCAGGAGGAAGGTCTGGAGGCTGAGTTGAGCATTAGTCACCAGTGTCGTGCTGTGTGAGAGGAGAAAGCAAGTGCTGTCTATAAACAGGATTGTTTCTGTAAGATGTGGGGGTGATTCTTCTGTTCCGCTTGGCACTGGTGAGGCTTCAGTTGGAGTACTGTCCCTAGTTTTGGGTATCACGTTTCAGGAAGAGTGTGGATCAGTTGGTGATGGATGGAAAGCTGCAAAAAAAAAATCAGAGGTTGAAAAAATGTGAGGAACAGTTGCAGGAATTAGCATGTAGATGGTAGGTGGCTTTCCTGATTTGTTTGAAAATGGCTCTGCTTCTTGAACCCTTTTATCATTTAAGGCAGTTTAACTCATGACTGCTGTTAGAGATCTTTCAGTAGAGTTAGGACCATCTGGATCTCACTTATGTCAGCTTTCATTTATAAACATTTCCTGGATTTTTTTCAATTTTTTTTTTTTTGAGAGAGAGAGAGAGCACAAGGGCGAGAGCTTTAAGCACTGCTGATTCTGTGACTTCGTGACTTGCAGCTGCAACTTAGAATTTGGCTGGGAAAAGCTGCAGGGCCTGGGAAATAAATATTGTTGCCCTCCTGTTCTGCTTGAGGTTGAGTTACAGATTTGCAAGTTATAACTGCCAGTGTGAATTTGGCTGCACGGTGGTTGCTACAGGCAGACTAGACAGTCTCTAGAGGTCCCTTCCAGCCCCTACCATTCTATGATTCTATGATCCTGTCCCTGCTCCCTGTGCCTGACCCTGGCATTTGTCTGTCTACTGGTTTGGTTGGTTGTAGCGTGCTCGCCACGGAGTGACTGGCCATAGTGACAGCTTTTCCTTGAAGCACAGCCTCTGTGATCTGGGTGGAGATGCAGCAGGTTTTTTCTTTTACTCATGTTTACTAACAAACTCTGGCTCTTACAGCCTTTACTTATTAAACTAGGTTTTGCATGCCAGTGAGAAGTTACGTAAGCTGGAGCACCCAGGTCTTCGGACTAGGCAGTCCTCAGCTTAGTAATTTAGTTAAGTACAAAAATATGATTACTTTTGGGGGGCGTTAACACAGTGAAAGCAAACCAAAACACAATTTCAATGCTAGTATTGCAATAATTCTATTTTGTTTTACAAACAAAACCAGTTTCCTGATATCTGTCAATTGTGCATGTACAACCTCATTTAATATCCACAGATGTGTAGTACTTTGGAAGATTCTTTCTGCATTTACAATGAGTCCAACTGATCTGTCTTTCTGTCACTGTTTCCAATGTCCTTCGTAGTGTGTTCCAACTAATCCAATTTCTTTATTGATCTGAAAGTTAAATGCATGGGGAAAATCTGTTGTATCCACAAAGGTCATGTCAACCACAGAGAATTGGATTTTTACTAAATTATGAAAGCTTTTAAATCAATCTTAACAACAGGTACCTTATTTTAACCCTATCCCTGGGGGGATGGTATGTTCGTGTAATTGTGAAAGCCTCATGTAGGAGAACTGAGTCTTATCTCTGACCATCATGTCTTGTATTTTAACAGAGAAAAGGAGCAACTGAATGTGCTACTCCAGGTGGCTCAGGTAAGTTTAACAGTTATTCTTCTCATATGTCTTCCCTTGACTATCTGCACAGAGTTCTTCATTGCCTACGCTTTGCCTGGAGCTAATATTGTGGCAACACTATTTAAAAAATGGGCTTTGTTCACTCAAAAACCTGCAGGTGTTTGGCGTTGGCGGAGGTGCAAGAGTTAACAAGGTAGGGTTTTTTTCAGGGCTCATGTACAAGCTTGCATAGTTCCTATTTGAAAATATCTATATTGAACATGCAGCATCCTTTTTTATCTCTACTGCTTCAGCTTATTACATGACCTTGTGATGTGCTACACTGTGACCACAGTCTGTTTTGCTGGATTGTTGCCTGTAGCAGCCAAAAGAAGAGTGCAGGGGCTGCTACCATGGCTAAAATAAACCCCTTGTAACTGATCTAACTGTTGGCACTTGATATATCAAAGAGCAGACCACCTACCCTGAGGTGTGTGTGAAAACAGCTGTTTATCATCTTCTTATTTCTTTTCCCAGACCACTTTTTCCCCACTTTCAGGACAGCTTTGTTCAGGCGAGATGAGAGCTTGAGGTATAGACTTGCGTTTGTCCACAAGTAGGAGTCAAGTAGAGAAAAAGCCAGAGGGTAACTGTAAAGAAAACAAGGATTGTGGTTTAAATGAGCCAGTTGATTGGCTGCATTGTCATACTCCTATCAGGAAGTACATGAAATCCTTTTGGAATTTATTTTTGCTTTTTCTTGTGTGTATATGTTTTCAACATCCTCTGTGGAGGGGAAGGTGGCTTTATCTTATAGCTCAATGTCAGTGAAAGTTACCAGTATCTTCCGTTTTCTAATTATTGTGTACGTGCTAGAAATTTCCTGTCACTTCACTGTGGAGACTGGAGGAAGGCACAGCAGCCAGCCATCATCCATCCAGTGATGCGTAAGAGTGCCAAGAAATTCTGGAAGGGAGTTTTGCTGGGGTGGAATTGGAGTGGATGCAGTCTCGCTTCATTGCAAATATCCCTTCCAGACCTAGATTCTGATGGTCAGACCCCCAGCTGAGGAAAGAACGAAATCCCCAGATCTTCTAGTGAATTGCTGGGAAATCTTCAGCTCTTAAGCAGGCTATGCATATATGTATTCGGATATAGTTGCTTTCTCCTATATGTGTGTATGAGTATGAGATAGTTCAAAAAGAGAGGATGGACTTTCAGAATGCTTTTTATCCAAATTGCAACGTACAAAGAGCTGTCACATAGGCAGCAGAAAGAGAGGCTCTTCTAAAAATTCACTGATCCCAGTGAGCTTCTTTGTATGATTCAGAATAGAGGTAGGCTCCTGGGAAAAAAGACGTATCTGGAAAAAGGGATGTACCTGGAGACAGGAAGAATGAAAGGTCCAGGCAAGGAACACATTTATGTTGAAGAAACTGCTTTAACGCTATTGTAAATTTTTAAAGGTGGAAGCAGTGAAGACTGAGGAGGTAGATATTCCCCTGCAAGAAGAAGAGAGACGTCAGATGGAGGAGATCTTAAGACTGGAGAAGGAGATTGAGAAGTTGCAGCAACAGAAGGAGGATCACATGTCTATCATCTGTGAAAACACCAGGAACAAAATCAATCGGCAGCGAGAGGAAGAGATCCAGAGGCTGGAAAAGGAGGCATCTAGGGTTGCCCAGGAGTTCTTGGAGCTGCTGGATTTTGGCAATCTGGATGAAAGTGTGCAGAACTTAGAGCGCTCGCTTTCTAGCGAGGGGACGCTCAACATTGACTGCAGCCTGGTGGCACCGCTGGCTGAAGAAGAGGTGGATGAGGGTTTTCATGCTGATGATGAAGGACGGCCAACTTCCAGTTTGGTGGTCTTGAATCAGCACAGCACAAGAAACAGTGGTAACTGCTCAGAGGAAGTTGCAGACACGGGTCTTTCACTTCCCCGAGGGGAACTGGGAGAGGTTGTCCCTGCTCCAGGACAAGCTATGGAGAGAACCACCAGCCCCAAGGAGCAGAGAGCCCTCTCTGACCCAGCAGAAAGCATTTACAGCACTGTCTCAGATAAGCAGAGGAGTAACAGCGGAGAGGTGGGAGATTCGACTTACACCTCTCCCGCGGATGTAGAGTCTGACTACGACCATGAGGAGTTCGATGGTTGTGGAGATGCAGGCAGTGCCTCAGCTGAGCCTCTGAACGGTGAGGAAGGTCCGAGGCATTCCCGTGGTACCAGCCTGGACTCCAACCGTGGCAGCCTGGACTCGGTAAGAATCCCTCCCTTCACCTTTCCGGACATTAGCGTGACTTTGTTGATATTTATAACATCCTTACCTTCTTACTGTAAGCCTGTTTGCTCTGGATATTGTTACTAATATATAACCCTCTCTTACATCAACAATCAGCTTGAAAAAAAAGGGAAGAGTCATAGATAGGCTGAAGGCCCGAGGGCTTGGGACTCTCCAGTGTCTACTGGTACGTAAGCTAGCACAGATGCTCCTAGGCTATTTTAGATTGTTTCCATCACCATATATTGACACCCTTTAGGAAGACTGAAAGCAGGCAACTAGTCTCTTGTAGGTATATATTCTGCCCTAGAGAGATTTCATGGAAATAGCTTGAGCTTCCAGTGGACAGTCACAAGAGGAAAAGGCTGGGATTTGATGTGTTTCTATCACTAAAACTTCTCCTGGTTTAGTCCTGTTACTGTTCAGAGACAAAGGATTATTTTCAGCTGCTGTGTACGAGTTAAGCTATTCTAAGGGCAGAAGAAATTACTTTGCTGATCCAGGCTGCGTCCCGGTGCACACAACTAAGACCACTGAAGCTTTTCATTCCTGCCGCAGGGACAAGGACAGGGTAGCAAAGCTGGGCTGTTGGCCTCGTGCTCGGAGCATCTCAGCTGAGACAACACAACAGGCTCTGGACTTCCTGAGTGCCCTCAGGCTCGTTGCTTAATAATGCAACCCTAAATCCCCTGACAGAGCAGGATGTCAGATAAGCCCACATAAGATTTCGAGGAGTTCAGGTGTGAAGCCAATGACAGCCATAAAAATACTTCAGATAAATGATGTCCCCGAGAATAGCGACTTGAACTACAAAATACCTTTGAGAAAATAATTGAGATTTTTTTTTAAAGGGTTTCCATTTACTTCCTTTGCTGTTCTTTTCAAAGGGCAGATTGTGGCCCTGCTTAGAAAGTTGCATGATCTTGTGTTTGCGTTTCCCTAATCTGAGCTGCCAGCCATCAGAATTTTTTACAGTAAGTTCTCCTTGAATAAAGGTACCTTCTCTTTGGGCAGGTACTCACAGATCACTGTCAGGTGATTTTCAAGTCATGAATCATTCTGTCACAGCCTGGGCCAGTTTCTCCATTCTTCTTAAAATGTAAATAGGAGTGGAGGGTTTTATTGGGCTCCTCAGTGAGTAATACTCATGAAAAATCCAGTTGATACTATGTCTTGACATGAGGCACAGGAAGAGATAACTGCAGCTGGGTGCTGATCCAAGAGTACTTGCTTTCTGAAAAATGACAAGAGAGGGAGAATGAGTGAGTGGAACAGGAATGGGACAGAAGTGGAGCACAGAGAGAAGACAAAAGGGAAAAATTAAAAGAAGCAACGTGCATTTTAGGAAGGAAAAAGGTCAAAGGAGCTGCCTTCATTAGTATTAAAATAATAAAGCCGATCAAAGGACTTTGTACTTAAGGTAAAGGAAATTATAGGGTAATTTGGGATTTCGTGTCTGAAGTACTTCTGGCTGAGGGCAATTACCTAGCTGCAGAACAGGGATGAGTAAATACAGTACTAATATTTCAGTAATCTAGGTCTTTGGTTTTGGGATTCAGTTATCCTGGAATGTGTTTTTTTCCTAATCAACTCAAAGCAAGGCATTTCTTTGCAAGGGTTAGATCAGTGCTCCATCATGTTCAGCATCCTGGCCTGTCTGCCAGAAAAATCAAAAAACTTCTCCAAAATAATATAAAACAATCTCTTTAATTTCATTAAATTAGATTTTAGACTGTGGGCTCTGCCTTGAAACAGGAAGGTTTGTTACTGTAGGTGACTGGAGTTTTCTAGCCATGTCCACTGCCAAATGCCACTCTCCTTTCTGGTATGAAAATTCCATGCTCTGGAGACTCTTGCTTTAGGCATTAATGGGTAAGCTGTCAAGCCTCTAGTTTTACTATATTGCTTTTTTTTTTGTAAAGGGGAATGTGTGTAGTTTTGCACCTTCTGATCATGTGACTTCTCGAGCCTTGTTAATTTGCTCCAGTCCTCCTGTGACCCAGAGCACCCGAGCACTGTGTATTGCTTCTTTTCCTTTCAGTTTCTGGAAAGTGAAGAAGAAGTGGATGTTTACATTGATACAGATGAAGAGTTTTGTAACGGACGAGTCACTATCTTCAATGGATCAGGACCACCTTATTTTCACAGCTATCTGTACATGAAAGGTACGTGGCTTTAGCCAAAGCTGTTAAGGGATGGAATCCAGGAAACCCACTTTCCTCTTCTGTTTCTCCATTCTAATCATCTTCATCATGGAACAGGCTGGAACAGGCTGCCCAGGGAGGTGGTGGAGTCACCAACCCTGGAGGTGTTTAAAAAAAAAGTAGATCTAGCACTTGAGGCTGTGGTGTAGTGGTTAGGTGTGCTGGGATGAAGGTTGGACTAGATGATCTTCAGAGGTCCCTTCCAACCCCGAACATTCTGTGATTCTGTGATCTGCTTTTAGTTCTCTGTGCCCGTGAGCCAAATCTGAATGGAAACAGGGCCCTTGTTGCGTGTCTGATGAAGTCTTGCTCCCTTGCTTGCAGGAGGCCTCATGAACCCGTGGAGACGGCGCTGGTGTGTTCTGAAGAACGAGGCCTTCATGTGGTTCCGCACCAAGCAAGAGGCACTGAAGTCAGGCTGGCTCTATAAAAAAGGGGGAGGCATGTCGACGCTTTCACGCCGCAACTGGAAACGCCGTTGGTTTGTGCTTCGAGAGTCCAAGCTGATGTACTTTGAGAACGACAGCGAGGAAAAGCTGAAGGGGACAATTGATATCAGAAGGGCAAAGTGAGTGAAGAAATAAATCCTTTTTTTTATCCCTAGCATTCACTCTTTAAATCACTAATGCAGTGTCCAGTGCTGCCAGCTCGTTGGCCTAGGAGGATCAGAAATAGAAGGGAAGAAGACAACAATTAGAACTTCTAGTTTTACTCTGGAGGGAGTGTGGTGTTACTTGCTAATTCTTACTCCAGTCTTGCATTTCATAATCCGTCAGAAGCTTTCCAAGCCCTGGATGGAGCCGGACCGGGAGGGGCTAATTAAATACATACCCCATGCATTCTCCCCTACTCTGACTCCATCTGTTTCCTGGCTTCTCCAGGCATTTCAGAGAGGTGGTATGAGCCTCACAGCGGGATTTGAATTTGGCAGCCCACACCATGTTTTTTCCTGAGTCCTGAGTGCTCTTTTTGCTGCCATAGCCAATTCCTGAGCTCCTGCGGTAAGAAGGGAGAGACTAGTCACTTGTTAGCATTATGTGGACCCGTAAAGTGCCAAAAAGAGTGGCACACCCCACTTTGTAAACAGCCCTCTAGATCAGCCTCCCTGTTATCTCATCTTCCATCTAATCTGCTGGTGTCTTGAAGAAAATTCATTTACTGCCTTAAGCTTTGCTTTTGTAGTTTAACTGTACAAATCTTTTAAAGGGGACCCTAGAAGTCTTGATGTGTATTGGAGGAATTTTGTATTTATATTGGAGTTTCAGGCCATCTGAATCAGTGATTTCCTTTCTGTATGGTGAATGTTATGATGTGACATAAATTGGCTGGATGGAATTTATGCCTGTGGAAGGTTTTCAGTTTTGGTTTTTGTGATTTGCTGTGTTCCAGGGAGATTGTGGACATTCACGAAAAGGAGAATGCCTTGGACATTGTGACAGAAGACAGAGTTTATCACATTGTCGCAGAGTCACCGGAAGATGCCAGGTATAAGAGGGAGTTTAGTCAGGTTTGTTCATTCAGTCCAGGTCTGACCCATGAGAGAGGCTGGGAAACATAATCACTTCCTTTTGCTGGAGAAAAGAGGGGATTCATTCCCCAGTGTCATTTTGTGCTTTCTGGGGGGTACCACACCTGTTTTGGGGACTCTCTGTTGCAGCTGCCGAGATGGTGGTTCAGCCTGTCAGCCAGAGGACTGCCACCTTCGTATGTGGCTGCGAGCACACTGAATTCAAGGGTTACTTCAAGAGACACACAAAACCTTAATATAAACTGGAACATCTAATAGCTGATTTATTTATTAAAAGGAATCTTGAATCAAACAAAAAGTCTATTCATGTTGTCTGTAAATGATTGCGAGAGCAGCTGGGTTTTATCCAGGAGACAGAGAAAAGGCTGAGCTTATCAGAGTCTGTAGTGTCATCTGATAAAATCTTCCCAGTGCAAAGCAAACAAATGACTCATGTCCTTCCTTCTTGGTGTCCTGGCCAGGCAGTGGGAATCGGTTGTTTAAGGGCAGGTTGGACAACCTGTTCTGGCTATGCAAAGCCGAGTCAAGAGGTTCCTAGCTGTTCATGTCTTCTCATTTTTCCCACTCTTACCAAGGCTTCTGCTCTCTCAGCCCAGCCAGTGTAACTGTGTCTGTGATCTACTTCAATCTGATGCTGTCAAGTTATTTAGGGTCTGTTATTATTTCATTTGTGTGTAGGGAGAGGAGGGGGGAAGCTGTTTGAACGCAAATAAACAGGAATGGACTAAAGAACGGCCCCATGAAGAAGAAACAGGCAAATTCTAGGTGCAGTAGGTGAAGAAACGGTAACTTCTTAACTCAGAACTTCCACAACTGCAAGAGTCATGGCCTAAGGCGACACTGCAGGATTGCTAGGACAAGTGCGAAGCAGATGTGGCCTCTGTCAGTGCCCTGTCAGTAGTCTCTATTCTGGTGGAGAAGAAAGCACCAACACTTGCACTAGCAAAGGGCAGATTAGCAGATGTCGTAGAGCATCCAATCTGAGACTCCTTCATGAAGTCTAGATGTTTGCTGATCTCACTGGAAGCTGCAGAGAAGAAGCTGCTTGATCTGCAACAGTGATTAGCCTCCAGATATGTCTGTAACAAGAAGCCTTTTCACAGACAAATAACTCCAGACTAGCTTTAAAGAAAAACCATGATAAATTGACAGCCATATGACTTTCAAGTTTATGAGCAAATCAGAGAAAGACTGGTTAAGGAGGCTCCCAGGCATCTCTACAACTCTCGTCCAGGAAGATCCCTGACTGATCCTGTCTTTACAACTGCTGTATGCTCTTCTCAGTCTGCTGACATGTGCCCCCTGGTAAGGCCACTGCCTGCTTACAGTTCCTTGAATAGCAAGTAGAAAACTGGATTTTGCAGGAGCAGCTGTCAGTGGGTTGGAGAACGTCCACAGAATTTTCATGGATAAATAAGGAGGAAGGAAGATGTTAGAACCTGGTATGATCCGCCCAAGAGATATTTTGTAGCATAGTCGTCAGGAAATTGTGAATGAAGAAATTTTCCCACTGGTGCCTTTCCAGGCTCCTTGGTCATATTCTAGAGCTAGTTTCACTACTCAGATTTTAACTTCGAGTCTGTTCTGTTTGCCAGCGGTTGGTTTAACGTCCTGAGCCGAGTGCACAGTGCTACAGCGCAGCAGCTGAGGGAAATGCAAGATGAACAGGCCAATCCCAAGAATGCTGTGGTGAGTTACTGTGCAACCAGCCTGTGGGCATGCTTACAGCCCACTGGGCGTAACTGTTTTGTGCCTGTTTTCCCAGCACACGCAGTGCTGTAGTTCAGGAGCAGTATAAGAAAGCTATAATGGAAGAGCAAAGCTGGTAGAAAGAGGGTAAGCAGTGGGGAACGTTGCGGTTGTGGTGGGTGGTTCAGCTTGATCATCAACAGCTTTCTTTGGTTTGAGGGGAAGATGAAATGTCTCATGCTGATAAAATGTCTTTGGATGGGATTATGGGACTAGTCTGGGTCACAGTTATTCCAGACACAGGATACGCGGTTGGGAAGAAAAATGTATTTATGTGTTTTGCCAGAACTAAGATACTATCAAAGGTTATTTCAGACCTTCATCATGCTCTCTGGAAATCTGTAGCTCTTTTTTCTCCAGTCCTGTGGAGCCCTTGCACATCTTATCGTGCTGTTTGGGGAGCAAAGATGACTCACTTCTGCCTTTCTCATGTATTCATTTCAACTCAAGCTATTGGAATTCAGAAGGATGTTTTTGGTGCCAATCCTGTTCGCAAAGGAGAATGTCTGTAATTTAAGACTCCTGTTATCTGTGTCTTTCTCACTGTACAGGGGACCCTGGATGTTGGGCTCATTGACTCTGTCTGCGCCTCAGACAATCCTGATAGGTAGGTACAGCAACCTGACCATCTCTTAGATCAGAAACTCTCTCACATATTCTTGTGGGTAGGTCCAGATTTGCATTTGTTTAAACTCATAAGAATTTATCTTGAAAGAAATAATGAAGTCTGTAGCGTGTTTCCAGCTATGACAATTCACAGGCATGAAGTTCACACATGTAATTTCTTCAAGTCAAGTGGAAACAGCATCATCTCGATGTCAAGAAACTACAGTTTTACCTATTACTAACACTGAACAAAAATGTCCAGCAAAAGCAGCACTTCTAGTTTTTCAACAGAGTAATTTTGAATTGGTCTTTTAAATTTAGAGGAAGCAAGCAGATTGTGGAAGAGTAGTGGATGAATTTAGTAGTCTGTACTCGTCTTGAAATCTCTGCAGTGCGACAAAGCACAGACCTTTAGTTCACAGATTGGTTAGTTTCAAAGAAGAGATTATGGCACTTTTCATATCACTTTACATTAACATTTAATTATTTCCTACAGTGTTAACAGGTTCAGCCAGGGCAAAGATTCTTACTACAGTACTGAAGTAAAATGTTAGCTATTAAGTTATTTACCTCTGTGGTCTGGTGGGTTTTTTTTGTTTGTCACACATGTTGCCGGGACGTTGGGGTTAGTAGTTAAGAAAATTCATATCTTGGTAGCGAACTAAGATTTCATTGATCAAAATGTTTTTGCCAGTTCTGAGCCTGGACTTTTCATAGTTAATCTGTGTACCGGTAAGAAACTAGGTACAAATAGTAAGCTGAATAGTCAAAATTTGTTCGTGCATCTCTTTAGGTATATTCTTTTGCCGTATCAATATTTGAATCAACGTTTAACAAATTCTGAGGAGAACCCTTATTTTCCACCAGGGTTTTTATGCAGCTTTTTTTATCTTCCATAGGTTTATGCAATGGCCATACAGTTGCTTGATTTGCACCTTTCACCTTTTGCTCATACTTGCATTCTACTTTTCAATTTCTATTTTCTCACAGAAATCCATGTTTGCTTTCACAGCTCTCTGAGTCTGTCCTCTTAGAACTGGTCATAATTTTATTTTTCCGTTTTGCTGTAAAGCATCAATTCTGTGCAGAATAGCGAATAACCTTTTGGGAGGACACATTTGTATGTTCCAAGAGTAGGTTTTCCCTCTGTTTTGTCGGGATCATTTTTAAAACCAGTCTCAAACCCATTTTAGCTGACCCTCCTGGGCCCTACGTTTGCTACTGCATCATTGGTTTTAGTAAGTATGAGGAGAGCAGCTGTACTAGCTCAGTGGTCCTAGCACTAGCTTAGTCTGGTTAGAGGGTAGGACAAAGCACTTTGCTTATGAACAGCTGGTCGTTAGCTAATTAATGTTTTTCAGTCTTTGGAAATAGCCTTTGAATGATGTTTAATTCCATTTATCTGGTCTCCGCATTCATCAGTTTGCAGACCAGCTGCACAGGAGATGCTTTTCAGTGTTTCTACACTTCTCTCTAGTTTTTATTCAGAGAATCTTTCTGCACTGCTTGTGGGAAGGTAGAGGACACAGCTTTGGGTGTGCTTTGAGTTGGGATATTTGTACGGTTACGACCAATTTTGTTGCTTTTATTTTCTGGCAGACCAAATTCTTTTGTGATCATCACAGCAAACCGAGTGATTCACTGCAACAGCGACACCCCTGAGGAGATGCATCACTGGATCTCCCTGCTGCAGAAACCGAAAGGGGAATCCAAGGTTGATGGCCAGGAATTCCTCGTGAGAGGTAAAAGAGAACGCATACCATTACGGCAGGTGAAGCTCATCTTCTGTTTATGATCTCAGGAGGAGGTTTGATTGCAGCTAATTCAAATTGGAGGTTTAGCTGCTCCCCAGAAACAACCATTCTTTGCCCTCTCTGCCTTCCTGCCCGCTGGTTGCCACATCCTGCATTGTGCTGGCAGTCTCTTACCTGATTCCCTGTCAGATGGATTCAGAAAGCTAAAGTACTTCTTTATGCATTTAGTTTTCTGATGTTACTTCCATAGCCGATTTCAACATGTCCAGCAAATGCTGTCTGGGACTAGGGAGCATGGCTGCTGTTGAGGAGCAGCTGGCTTAGACTGACGATAACATGACACTGCAGCTTTTGTTTTGAGAAAGCTCTGTGGCTTCTGACACCTGTCATGTAGAGAGTGAGGGACAGAGATTTATGTGGGATTGCTCTGTCCTCAACATACTAATCTGATTATGGTAGACATGTTGAGGTGAGAATAATTCTCTCGAAGCTGAGTAAAAGATTTAAGTGGTGTCTCTAGTTAGAGCTTAGCTGGAGATGGAGGAGCTAATGTGCAAGTAGTGATCATGCACGTGTTGCAAAATATTCCCCCATTTGTCTCAAGTATTTTTTCATTTCCTCAGTACTTTCAGCTGATCACATGGTCTTAAACGCATGAATCCAATCTGTGGGAAAGCAAATGCATGAGCAAATTGCCTTACATCTTCTCGAATGTATCTGTGAGGGAATAAAAGTCTGAGTGGTCATGGCAAGGCAGGAGGACAGGAAGCAAAGGGTTACCAAAAAGAGATGTAAGCCTTCCATCCTAGTCTTAACAGTGCAAGGAGTTTGAATGATATAAAGCAGATTATGAGACAGCAGTTTCAGTATGATAAATTCAAAACTTATAATTGCAAGGCGGTAGTTCCTTTTATCTCATATTGTTCATTAGTTAAAAATATAAAAATGCTCCTCCGTGAAGCCAGTGTATGCCCTGCCCTTCACAGTAAGATGTCTGTGTGACAGTGGTGTAGCCACAAAAGCATATATTCAGGCAGGTCTCTCTCTGTCTTTTCTTTGTATGGAACCTCTGGGCTCAGGCCCACATTCTTTGAACTTTTCACTTAGTGAGTGGGCATTGCTTTTTACAGCTCTGAATAGAAAATTGTCTTTTTGAGAGCTTTAGCAATGCAGGCTGTCATTTTTTCTCTTTTACTGTTGAATTTTATTTTTTTTCCTTTGTGAGGAATCTAAAACAAGAAATTGGTTTTCTTGACTCTGGGAGGAGGAGGTGCGTGTAATGCTTACGGATCTTTCTACTAGAAGACATGTATTACCAAACCTCTTCCATCAAGGTTTGGATAGGCATTTGGCATCTCTTTGGAGGAATGAATTTTAAATTATTTATTCAGATGTGTGTCGCTTGTGAGGAAAGCATCCTGAATAAAGAATGCTCCTGTGGTGATGGCAAACTAAACCCCAGATCATTGATAAAAAAAATGCATAGAGTTGAAGGCTTGAACCACTCTTTGGAAATATTTGGGCTAATTTCTTACAGTGACTGCAGGGTAGTGCTATAAAGAAATACATACAGTAAAGTAGAGCTGGTAGGTCCCAGCATGAGCCTTTTACAGTGAGGTGGAGTTCTGGTCCCAGCGTTAGAGAGCCACCAGGCAAGGGACAGGATTGCTGTGGTGGTGAAACCATGATGCGTTTGTGTTCCTGCGCTAGGCTGGCTTCACAAAGAGGTTCAGAGCAGCAACAAGATGTCCTCGCTGAAGATGAAGAAGCGCTGGTTTGTTCTGACAAACACTGCCCTCGATTACTACAAGTCATCCGAGCGCACAGCTGCCAAGCTGGGCACACTTGTGCTCAACAGCCTCTGCTCTGTAGTGCAGCCCGATGAGAGGGTCTTCAAAGACACAGGTAAGAGGAAGAAAGTGGGAATGAGCACATTTTCCATCTGTGCAGTTGCCTGAAGAGGGGATGGTGCAGGAACGTATCTGTGTGTCGCGTTGGGAAGGTTGCCTTGAGGTTGTCTGAGGCTCTGTGTGTGGCTGCAAACTGTAAGAGACTTGCAAAGGGCCAGAGAGTAGTGTGCAAGCGATGGTAAGTCCCTCACACGTGAGGAAGAAACACAGTGCTAATGTTTTTTTCACTGAGCGGTGTCACTGTTGATCCAAGTGGTTTGCAGATTGTGTGAGGTCTTACAGTTGGCACTGTAATTATGAGTACATCTGCATAAGTCACTGTCACTTTGTAGCATGATCTACATTGGTCTCTGGGCTCAGTGTTACTCTCTTAAGTAACAGGAATGGCATACACTGTATGTCTTCTTTGTAGTGTCACTCAACTTGTTAGAAACAAAAAATGACAAGGGTCTCTGCTCTGTGCACCGTGACACAGTTCTGGGGAGGCAGGTTCTGGCATGTTCCTCCATTAGTTGCCTTATGAGTTTGGTGGGGGACCCCAGGTTATGGGGCAAAGGGTGAGTGCCTCTGATAAAGAAGGTGAACCTGAGAACAAGACTTGAAGTACTGGGCATTTGTGTAGTGGAGCTACATGGGGTTATTTTAAAAAAATAGCTGGAAGCATTTAGTTGAGAGGAAATGCATTCTGCTCACTCGCAAGAAAATTGTCCACATTTTTCATCTCAACAGATGTCTAGGGCTGCCTTCAGCAGAGTGAATTGTCAGTGCCCTGATGTGTTCTCTCAGTTTGTGTCAAACACATTAATTTCAAAAGTTATGAGAATTGATTTGGCAGTCTGACTGGGTGCTGTGTGTAGAGTGGTCAGTGTCGGAGTGATTAATAGCACAGTGTAGCCCGAATGCTGTCTGTGAAAGTGAGCTGCCTGGTTGGCAGGGAAATAATTCATGTTACACTGCAAGATACCTGTATCTTGTAATGCTGGCTTTGTACCAAAACCTGGATTGGGCCCTTCCTGCTGGTAAATATATTTTCAGAAGGGGGGATGTTAATGTCTACCTAGTCAGTTTTAACTAGACACACCATGTGTTGCTATCAAAGCAGCAAGGGCTTTCCTCAGCCACGTGCTACAGACAAAAAGAGAATCATAGAAACAGTTAGGATGGAAACAACCTTTAAGATCATCGAATCCGACTGTTAACCTAGCAATGCTAGGTCCACTACTGAATCATGTCCTTAAGCGCTACATCTCCATGTCTTTTAAATACACCCAGAGATGACAATCATTTCCCTGGGCAGCCTGCTCCAATGCTTGACAACCCTTTTCCTAATAGCCAAGCTAAACCTCACCTGGCAGAACTTGAGGACATTTCCTCTTGTCCTATTGCTCGTTACTTGGGAGAAAACTGACCCCCCACCTCTCTACAACCTCCTTTCAGGTAACTGTAGAGAGCGATAAGGTTTCCCCTCAGTCTCCTTTTCTCCAGGTTAAACAACTCCAGTTCCCTCAGTCGCTCCCTAGTTCCTCCTTCCAGCCTTTCTTGTAGATGGTGTCACATTAACTTCCAGTCAACTAAATAACATGCCAGGAAGTTTCACCTTCGGGCTTCTTTGCTTCCTCACAGGCTATTGGAACATCATTGTCCACGGGCGAAAGCACTCCTACAGACTGTACACGAAGCTGCTGAACGAAGCCATGCGCTGGGCCTCTGCCATTCAAGGTGTCATTGACAGCAAAGTTCCCATCGAAACACCTACACAGCAACTCATTCGCGACATCAGGGTAGGTGGCACAATGCTAATTCTCAACTGGGGAGCAGCCAGAGCACTACTGGCCTTACCCAATCATTGCTGAGAATGTGGCAAAAAAAATGAGGTTGCTGTCTTACAAGGGAGTTAAAAACAAAAAAGGAAAAAGAAAAGACAAGAAACTGAAAAGGCTGTGCAACTAAATAATCAAATCTTGTGTGAATTTTATTTCGAGTAAGTCTAGGCCACAACTGTGTGCAGTTACAGACTGCATGTGCAGGATTACACCACCAAGTATTTTGTAAACCTCTGCTTCATCCTTTGATCTCCTAAGCATCCTCTGGCCACAGATATAAAAATTTCTATTCCTCCTACCAGCCATGTGACTTTGCTGTTCCCTGAAGACCTCTTTGTACCTCAGGCTTGTGTGGTTAAACAGCAGAGTAAAAGGTGGAAATACAATGTCCTTCAAAATAGCTGAAATAGTGCCACTGGTAGCAGGAGTAATTTTTGCAAAAGCTTCTTTTCAGAAACTGTGGCAAGTTAAATGCAGAAGAGATGTAAGACGACGCATATTTCAGAACAAATATTTCAGAACAAATGTAAACATTTACACTGTGATGAGGTCTAAACTAGATGCAATAAGATATTCAGGAAGAAAGAGCTGGGAGTGATTGTGGAGAATCTTGGAAAACTTTAGCTCAGGGTTCAAGGACAAAAGGAATGTCAAGTATTGTTAGGGAAGGAATGCTCAGGACAAGCTGTGGAAGAACGCCAGCGTGAGTGCTGGTGACAGGCCCAGGTTTGGAACACCACATGCATTTTGGTTTTCTGTTCTGTGAACACATGTAGTACAACCAGACAAACTGAAGGAGGACAGGCTCATTACCACACACTAAACATAGTGGATCTGTGGTCAGACAGCCCATAGAGCGTTTACTGATGAAAGCTTGAGGGATACACCAGGGAGGAATCACCCCACACATTGCTGTTACGTGCCTGCATTAGGTATCAGCCGCAAGCCGCATCTGAAGTCAAGATGCTGTGCTTGGTGACCTCTGGTGTGACCCAGCATGGCTATTCTGATGTCTAAGAATAAGAATTGCCAGTCAGCATATTTAAATAATATCCTAATATTTTAATTTTAATAATATTTTAAGAATAATTTTCAGAAATAATATATAGAGTAACTACTATATGTTAATTGTACTTTGGTCACCTAGTCCCTCCATAGACCTCCAGAAACTTAAATAAAGGTGGTTGAACTTGAACCTAAATGTATAAGAACATCCTGTGAAGGACCTTCCCCAGTTGAGGGTAATTTTTTTTTTTTCTTCCCCAGGAAAACAGCACAAACTTTGAAGTAGTGGAACAGACGTACAGGAGGAACCCCATCTTACGATATACCCAGCACCCCCTGCATTCCCCGTTGCTCCCATTACCGTACGGAGATGTCAGTGTCAACTGTGAGTATTTTACCCACGTGACAGAATCCACTAGTGTTTGGAGGATCTGAGTAGAGCCTGAACACCACAAAAGGGGTCTGTAAGCTCCCTCCGTGCCAGACAAGTCACAGAATCACAGAATCACAGAATGTTCGGGGTTGGAAGGGACCTCTGAAGATCATCTAGTCCAACCTTCATCCCAGCACACCTAACCACTACACCACAGCCTCAAGTGCTAGATCTACTTTTTTTTTAAACACCTCCAGGGTTGGTGACTCCACCACCTCCCTGGGCAGCCTGTTCCAGTGCCTCACCACTCGTTCAGTAAAGAACTTCCTCCGAATATCCAATCTAAACTTACCCTGATGCAACTTGAGGCCATTTCCCCTTGTCCTGTCATTAGTAATTAGAGAGAAGAGACCAGCACCAGCCTCACTACAGCCTCCTTTTAGGTAGTTGTAGAGGGCAATAAGGTCTCCTCTCAGCCTCCTCTTCTCCAGACTAAACAAACCCAGTTCCCTCAGCCGCTCTTCATAGGGCATGTTTTCCAGACCTCTCACAAGCCTTGTTGCCCTTCTCTGCACCCGCTCCAGCACCTCAGTGTCCTTCTTGTACTGTGGTGACCAAAACTGGACACTGTGGCCCACAGGGTTCAGAGAGGGAGCAGTCCCTTTCGCCACCCAGAATGTGTTCTGGGCCACAAAACCTTTCCAGAAATGAATTTCAATCTGGGTATGCAAAGCAATGTATACAGAAAAACAGTCTGCCACATGTGTAGTTATCTAGTTTGGCTTAGGAAAGTGAACACGAATTTGCATAGCTTTATGAAAATGTCAGTTCTTATGCTGAGTACATAAACAAACAGCTAATGCAAGGATCTGAAAGCTTAGGAAAGGGAAAAAAAAGTCTTTGTGTGGCTGTGCTGATTTATCAGGCACCTGCATCTTGAATATGGGGTGCAGTTTGGCCTTCCACATCTTAACAGATGAAGTAAAATCTACCCAAAGTTGACCGAAGGCATAGAAAGACTTGCCTACAATTAAGAGACTAAACGGAGGAGTATTCATCAGCCTCAAAAAGAAGTTTTTAGGACTAGTGGACTGTCATGGGGAAAATGAAAGGGGGAGTAATTGCTCACTGTCTCTCATGATACAAGGACCAAATTAAGTGGCAGAGCAGAAGCACAGAAAAAATAAATTCTGAAATACAGAAAAATTACAGGGCGAGTACTTAGCACTGTGGAAGTCACTGCCACAGGGCTGTGTATTTGTATCATACAGTTAGTGGGGACGCAGTGGCTGTAAGGGTGGTTCAGAAGGACCTACAGCCCAGAGATGTGCAAAGGAGAATGCAAGCCTGCAGCAGGGGGGTAGTGCCACATACTCCTGAGCAATTCAGAGCAAACATTTAGGTGCTTAAAAAAAGCTTAACCAGTTCTGATGTAGGCATTTTAAATCTAAACAGTAGGTAAAAGCTGCATCTGCGGTACAGCAGTTTCCCTAAATTCTCTGTTTTCTCAGGGGCAAAAGCTAATACAGGCACAACACAGAATTTTGCAAGTACACAAGCCAGGCTTCAGTATCTGCATTCAGGCACCTAAAGTCTTAACTGTATTAGTGACCCTCTGCTTTATAGCTGCTCTCTACACAGAGATGACTTATCTGCCACCCCTTCTTCACCTCTGTCTGCCACTGAGGTGTCATCGGCAGTCTCTTGGCACCTTGTCTGCAGATGGTGAAGCCTGAACTAGATTTCAGTGCTAGTTTCCCTTAAAAACACGATTCTGCTTTTCTGCACAGTGTATCTTAAAATGGGCTTGCAGTGGTGACAAGTTAGATGTTGGCAAATACTAATTCAAACTGCGTTTGCACATTTAAAGGGGAAGCGTTAATGAATTTTGAGTGTAAATTTAAGTTCAGGTGGTGACCTAATGCTCAAGTTGGTGTTCTTGTGTGACAGACTAGCTCGTGGTGTTGCTGGGCCAGTAGAAAAGCAGGGAGATGCTCACCTCTTGTCACCTTTGTGATCATTTCCCAGTGCAACAAGAGAAAGGTTACAGCAGCTTACAGGATGAAGCAGTGAAGATCTTTAACTCCCTTCAGGAAATCGAGACGGTGTCTGACCCCATCCCCATTATCCAAGGCATTCTGCAGACCTGCCACGACTTAAAGCCCCTTCGTGATGAAGTGTACTGTCAGCTCATCAAACAAACGAACCACATGCCGCATCCCAACAGTACGGGGAACCTGCACCACTGGCAGCTCATGTCCTGCATGAGCTGCACTTTCCTGCCGAGCAGAGGCATCCTGCGCTACCTCCGCTTCCACCTGAGGAGGTAACACCTTTGCATTTGCAGCCATCTCCTTCCTCTCTGCTTCCCTTCTGCTGCTCGTCACCTGTCTTGCCCTTCTCCTGCGCAAACAGCTCCCCGCGGTGTCGCAGCCTCCTGCCTTTGGGCGCAATCTGTGCTCCCCACTGTTCTGTATTAAAATTTCCTGCTGGCCACCCGTCCACGAGAGGCTGTGGAAATGTGAGATTGTGTTAAAGTGGATTTACAGCTGATGACCTACTGCTTACTAATGTCCATGTAAACATTCTCAACCTGCAGGAAAGGTGAGGACTGTACTTCCGTGCACATTGAAAGACATAAAACCTTCCAGCTGCCACAGGCAAAAGGTGTACAGTGGAGTAGTAGATACACTGTAAATCCAATTTATAATTTTTCAGTATCTATTTGCCTAACTAAGCACATAGTGCTTGCAATTTGTATTTTTAATCTGCTTTAACCTCCAGTTTTTATGAACTAAATCATTTATGTTTCATCCCAATTCGTCTTCAGCATCTAATGCAGCTTTCCAAAGCAGTCTGCACTGGGGCTGAGCTGCAGCCACGTAGCCTCACTCCATTCGTTAATGATGAGAAAGATGATAAAATCTATTTCATTCCTTCCAAGCTAGGAAAAAGAGAGGTGAAATTTGTGCCAATACATCAAACACAGAACCAGGCCCTGGATGTAGCTAAGAGATGCTGAGGGACGCTCCATGTTGCCATTTCATGTTTCTATCGCTGGAGCTGTTATAAGTATTAAAGTAGGGAAGAGAGCCATGTACGAGCATCTACTTTCTATATTCTTGACCCTGAAAAACACTGTAGAGGTGATTCAAGCATTGTTCTTTTTGTTAAAAAACAATTAAGAATAAATGAAGGAAAATTAATTTTATCTCATAGTTTTTAATCTTACTTTTTTAAATGGAGATAGTCAATCCTACTATCTTCAGCCATTATTAAAGTCCTGAAAGTCTGAACTGCTTATGTAGCTCAGAAGCGTCACTGAATTGACTTTGGGCTGACTAGTAAAAGCAGGTTGTATGGTTTAGGAAATAAGTGGGCTCATTCTTCCTGTGGTTGCACTTGACGTCACTGTTTCTACTGAACTCTTTCCGTACAGTACTCCCAGTTGTACAGTAATGTGTGTGCTTTCTGCTTTACCAAGTAATGGATTTTTTTTTGCCTCTCTTTACAATTAGGGTAAAAGACCTCTTTCCAGGCTCAGAAATAGACCGGTATGCACAATTCATAAGCGATTCCCTGAAGAGAACAAAGACGAGAGAGTTTGTGCCCTCCCAGGAGGAAATACAGGCTCTTCTCACCCGTGAGGAAATGACCACGACGGTGTACTGCCACGGCGGCGGCTCCTGCAAAATCACCATCAACTCCCACACAAGCGCTGGCGAGGTAACGCAGTCGTAGCATTAACCAGACGTAAGCACATCTCTGCGTCTCCATACTGGAGCTGTTGAGGGTCTTCTTTTTCCCATTCATCTCCAATTTCTCTTTTTTCTTATTTTTAAATTGAGGTTGTTTGGGTTTTTTTTGCTGTATCTGCAAAGTCGGTAGGAAAATCTCAGCTTACTGTGCACGTTCAGAATTATGCAAGGCCTGAGCACAGGTTTGTAGAATCTCACTTAACCATTGTATTGCAAAATCTAAACACTTCTGGTGTTCTGCCCATTGGAAAGGTAACAATTCTGAAGACTTGCTAAACATGGTTTTCTGGCCAATTTGAAATTCGAGTTCATAGTGTAATCCTTTTGGAATATTATATATAGTATAGTAGATCTAATTAATAAAATTATATTAGTATATAATTATATATATAATGTAATTAATCACTAGCAAGATTCCAGGTTGCAGTAGGCATGGCTGTGAAAACTATAATGCTAAACAGAGATAAAAAGACTATTTAAGAGTGAAATTGTTACTAGAGGAACTGAGAAGGTGATCATGACTTGTAAATCCATTATGTGCCTGTAGCTTGTGCAGAGTTCTAATTTCCCCATTTTCAAAAGGGTAGCGGAGATGAAAAAGGTTGAGAAGAACAGGGAGGAAGATCAAAAACCAGTAATGACTTCCTTGCAAGGAACGATCGTTTGGGTTTAGAATTCTTTAGTCTGAAAATGAGGTATCTAAGGGAGAGGTGTGATGGAGGGTGTGAAATGATGAGCGTGCTGAGGAGTTACAGATTCTTTGTTGTGAACGTGTGTGTAACACCTGCTCTGTGATCTCTCTCCCTGGTTACGCAGGTGGTCGAGAAGCTGATCCGAGGGTTAGCAATGGAGGACAGCCGCAACATGTTCGCGCTCTTTGAACATAATCAGCAGGTGGACCGTGCTGTTGAGAGTCGGGTGATCGTGGCTGATATCTTGGCCAAGTTCGAGAGGTAGAATATTTCATAAAACCTCTAAACTCCTAGTTGGAGGTAACACTGGGTTAAGTGATGGTACAGTCAGGCGGGTTTATCCAGGGCAGCTGCAGTGATTCAACCGTTTGCTCTGGTTTGAACTTCCCTTTGGTAAGGTTCAAGTGCTCTTTCTCACTGTGTGGAAGACCACATTCGCATCCGTTTTGGTGAGAAAGAAGCACTCTCTACCAGGCTCGTCAGGTCGAATTTAGTAGTGCCTTTATCAAAGAGTAATGGTTTACTAGCAGAGCTGAGGGAAGGTTTGCTTAAGTCTGATATAATGATCTTGTCAATTTACATCACAGTAGCTACATCAGAAGAGAGAGCAAAGATTTGGGTATAGAAATGCAGCTCTAGTGCCCTACTGTCGAGTGTGATTTTGTGGGCAGACCTACAAAGCAAGCAATAAATTGTGAAAAAAAACTGGCAATGCCGTTGTCTATTTTACATCTGTTCTAAAGACAAAAATAAAACTGTTCCAAATGGTGGCAAGGCTGATGCTTTTCACAGTCACAAGACTGCATGGAAAAAAGTATCCTGAAAATGGGGAACGCTTTGTGTCCTGCCCACAACTCTTGCATTTATCTAGAAACACTGATGTAATTTTTTTGATTAAGTGTATCTGATAAGAAGTTTGGATCCTTCTGACTTAAAATTTCATGTGACTCAGAGGGACAAATGGAAGTTACCAGAAAAGCCTGTTGCACTGAGATTGTCCTTGTAAATTGGGTATTTCTGTATCTTCCCTGTTTCAGAAACCCAGTGGTACCTTCATGTTGTGCGTTGCACTGTGGGCATCCCAGTGCCATGGTGCTTCTGGTTACTGGTCTTTTCCCTTCTCATTCTCTTTCCTATCTTACAGGCTTGCTGGCTCTGAAGAAGAAGAGGAGGAAGGACAGTGGCAGCTGTATTTTAAGCTTTATTGCTTCTTGGATATTGAGAATGTTCCCAAAGATGGGGTGGAGTTTGCCTTCATGTTTGAGCAGGTAAGCTCACTCTGAGAGAATGATTTCGTTTCCAGGGTGGCAGAAGCACACAAGAGTACACAGAAAATGGGCTTAACCTTGCATTAGAATGGGAATGCTGGCTGGAACGGAAGAATTTTAATGTGTTGGATTTTTGCCTGGAATCTACCAAGCAGATACACTGCAAAGTTCTCTAGGGAATAGGAGTGTTAGAGTAAAAGCAAGAAAAAATGAACAAGGGCTTCTAAAAAACTGAAGACCAATGATACTAAAATGCTTTGAAAATATATCTTTAAAAGATAGAGAAATCTGGATAGTTCTTCAAGAATCACTAATAGTAGCTGCTTGCAGGTACTGGAAACTCTATCTATCCGCATATCCTCTTAAGGAGAACTGCACAACAGGAATTGACTAAAAGTCTTTCAGGCAGTTTATCTTGATTAAGAGAGAGGCACTAGAGGAGTACTACAGAAAAAGGAAAAGACAGTGTAGCTGACTATTTATCTGCTGAATGTGCTCCATAGCACAGGAATGCTGGTTAGGCCAGAGATCACACTGGTATGAAATAACCTCACAATTAGGGATGCAAAACTAAGGTGACTGGAGTGCCAAATGGTGTGATTCGTCCCTTCTTTATTACTTTTAAGGAGCACTTTGATCTTGCCTCAGAAAATTATAGCCGTTGGAAATTAATTAAAAGTGTTAAAGAGGGTCAGCGTCATGAAGACTGAAACTCGCCAATGGCATGTACCTCACGCAGACAATGGTTCCCTGGGACAGCTTTCTAGAAAGGAAGATGAAGTATTAACTCCAGAGGGTCTTAGAAATGGTCAGGAAAGAGACATCACGTTACTCTGTGGAAACTGAGTTTTACCAGACTCCCTGTTTACAAGGCTTTCAGCTTTCACTAGCAAAGAGTGGTGAAGGAGAAGTAACTGCAGAAGAGTGGGACAAACATTAGGTGGATGTAACAACCCCTTTCCTCCCCCTTTCCCAATTCGATTTCACAGAAAAACAGGCAAAAGGAAGCAAGAAGATTGGGGGAGACATCAGGGGAAAGAGGAGGCGGGAGGTGCTGGTGTGCAATGAGACTGAGGTTCAGAGTCTTGAGTTTATTATAGCTAACTCTTTGGTATTTAATTTAATCTCCACACAGGAGCTGTAGCTGGTACAGCACAAAAAAAAAAGCCTCAATTCCGATCTCTTACATCTGTTCCAGACCTAAAAAGTTCTTCTTGTAAGACTTTTGAGTACAGGAGCCCCTCAGAGATCTCTGTCCTGTCCAGCCTTGCCCCCACATCAACCAGTTGCAGACTTTTTGACTTCTTTATTACAATGCCTGACCTGACCTCCTGAATTAGGGCTTTCCTGCTGGGATGCGCAGATGCCATAGGAATCTGTACATGGACCCAGCTGTGAATAAAATGTGCTTCTGCTTTCTAATGACTTTAGGGGACTTTTTTGTTTTGTTTTGTAGGCTCATGAAAGCCTCATAGATGGTCATTTTCCTGCACCAGAGGACACTCTGCAGCGCCTAGCAGCACTACGGCTGCAGTATCTTCATGGAGATTATTCTAAAATAAGTTGGACCCTTGATGGAATCTACCCAGTTAACAGACTAAAATCCAAAATACTGCACTCAACAAAGAGCAGTGGCACTACCAGTCATACTCTGGAGAGAAGACGGACCAGCTTCCTTGAAGGCACATTGAAACGCAGCTTCAAGACAGGTTCTGTAAAGAAGCAGAAGGTGGAAGAGGAGCAGATGATGGAGATGTGGGTGAAGGAGGAGCTTTCAGCTGCTCGGGCAAGCATAGCACAGAAATGGACCAAGCTGCAGGGACTCTCTCAGCATCAGGCCATGGTGAAATACATGTCCATTGTAAAGGAGTGGCCAGGTTACGGGTCAACCCTATTTGATGTTGAGGTGAGTGATGTATAAATGTAGGTAACTACTGGCGAGGAGGGGCATTGGTCTGGAGAATGAACACAGCTCTGTGCATTACGTTGTTCGGCAGCAGGAGGGAATTTCAGGAACTGACCGTGTTTTGCTTAGTAAGCTTAGAGTAAGCCTGTAGTGCCACTCCGTCATCTGTAAAATAGTAAATGGAATATTGACTTCTTAAATCACTTCAAAATCTGATGAGAGCTGTTAGATACTACAACTATTCATTACTCAACTATATTTTCTATTGAGGTGAAGAGCTGAAATGTCCTATAGGAGGCAGAAATGGAGGGCTTTTCCTTGAACCAGGTGATTTGATCCTCCACTGCATTGACACAAATTTCATGTTTCTCTTTCTGCAGTGCAAGGAAGGTGGATTTCCAAATGATCTTTGGCTTGGAGTCAGCACAGAGAATGTGTCTGTCTACAAACGAGGCGATCCTAAACCACTAGAAACTTTCCAGTATGAGCACATTGTTTTCTTCGGAGCTCCACAGCCTAACACATTCAAAATTACAGTGGATGAGAGAGAAATGTTCTTCGAAACATCCCAGGTATACGAAAGCACAAGACTAGTTGCACATGTGCAGTTTTACTAGCACTTCAGTGAAGCTCTAATTTCCAAGAACTCGCTGAATGGACTCAACAGCCAAGGAAAAAGATGAAGTGAGCTTGAGCCTGAAGTGCCATAGTAGCCCTTTTTGAATGTAGGAATAAATACCAAAAAAAAAAGAAAAAAAAAGATGCTGCTTAGAAAGTGAAGGAGGTTGAATGATCTTCCAGTACACTGGGAATTTCTGATTTTGGGTGCTCCTGAGTGTGCTTATTTTTGTCATTTCTTTCCACTATATGAATGGTGAGTCCACAAACTCAAAAAAGGAGCATTGAAGTGGCTTTTCTTTGAGCTACAAGCCTTCTAAATGTCATTGCGACAGAACACAAACTTGCCAAGCATTCATTTCCTTACTGTCATGTTCGCATTTAGTATTTAGTGCAAAATTTATAGCCTCATGACTTTGGACAAGGGGAATTTTTTCTGCATAATGTCCTGTGTGCTTCATTGGAATTAGGTTTTTAATGTGCTTATCCTCTGTTATTCTGTTCTCTCTCTAGGTGAGCGAGATCATAAAGATCATGAAAGCATACATCAACATGATTGTGAAGAAACGCTGCAGTGTCAAATCGGCCACGAGTGTGGACAGTCACGCCAGCGTCTGGACTAGGTGATAGGAATGAACTGCCACGAGAGAGAGGCAGTTGTTTGATGATTGGTATTCGCAACTTGCCAGCACAACTGTAGCAAAGATGTTTTTTAAGAACTCCGCTTGAGTGACTACTGTATTTAAAAACTGAAGTGGCATCTGCAGTACCATAGGATTTGCACCTCTGCCCAAAGACGTTAAACAGTAACAACTGTTGTTAAATATTAATGACCCAAAACTTGTTTTCCCCTTGCTTGTTTCACGAACAATGTACCTTAAAGAAGCAAAGTCAGAAGCATCCTCCTGCGTGCCCTCTCTGCTGCTTTCACCATTAGCCGTCACGTTGGCAGAAAAATTCACATCAACCATTTCTGCACTACAGGAGACAGACTTAAGCTTCCTTATGAATTTCCAACATGCAGACATCTGGGATCATGGGATCACAGGGTGGTCTGCTAAAAGGATATTTGTTTTTTATTTATTTTACAAGCAACTCTTAAATATAAGTCACTGTGGATTTTTTTCTTCAGGATCTACTGATGATCTGATCTGGTATTAAAAGAAAATGCCTTTGTATAACGGAAGCCAAGAGGTCAAACCCTACATGAGAGAGCATTAAACAAACAAACAAATAAACATACACGAGGTGATTCTTTACCTTCTAATAGAAGTACCCAGGTACATGACTGTAAAAAGCGGCACTTTAAGTAAAATTCTAACTGCTCCAACATAGGAGAAAATCTTTGGGACTAGCACCAGTGAAATAGATCATCAGGTGCCATTCCAGGTACATTCCAAGCAGCACCTGTTGCCTAAAAATTAATGACTGCCTCTCCCCTATACACCCCTGGAGGTGAGACTGATTTAGGTGAATTTCGAGAGGAGCTGCTCTCAACAAACTTCAGCTTTTAGATGGAGGTCAGGGTTTTTTTATGGTGAGCAGCCTGCCTGTGTTAAGGTCCTTCTTTCTCTTTAGGGAATTTTAGGATGATTGGGCTCCCTGAAGTTTAGTTTTAAGTGAACTGTTTCCTACTGAGGGAATAGATGCCTAGATAAATAAAGTGTTATAGGCAAGGATTTCACTTCCTCTGTACTACCCTTCATCCTCCTCCAAATTCTGATCAGAACCGCTCCCATCACTAAATCCCCAAATCCCCTTTCCAGTCTCCTCTATGCCCCTAGTCATCAGCAAAACTTGAAAACAATGTTGTTTTGCCAAAACAACTGCTTCTTGGAGGTTTTTATAAGTACTTGCAATTTGAAGAAGCAGATTTATTTTTTCTCCTCATTGAAAGATGACGGTCATCTTCAGTCTCTTTGACTTGGGAAACTTGATTTCATTGTTTAAAACAATATTCAGTATCAGTCACATCATAAATTGGTTGCATTAGCAATCAAGAAGCCTGGTAGTTTGCCATTTTCTATGACCCTTGTCTTTGGATGTTGGGATGCAAAGCCCATTCAGTTTCTTAGTGAAGCTGAAGAGCTGTACATCACACGGACTTTGTTCCACACTTCAAATCAGATGCCTCCATTTCTGAGGAAGCGGCAGTGAAAGCCTGTAAGCTGTGAAATAGAAATTTCACAGAAAAGAAAACTAGGAGTCAGTATGCAACAGATTCTATTCTAATTCATCATCAGTGTGCCATGTCACTAGTACCGTGTCACAGGAACGCCATAGTTTTGAGGTTGACAGTGCAAGAAACTGCACTGTACATAACCTGTGCTTTTCTCTCATTTCCACTGCACTGGAGCACGTGCAAACACTGCCCACTTGCCGCACAACCAGCCGAAGAGGGTAGCCACTACTGTGTGTCGTACGTTCAGCTGGAGTTTTGCCTTAAATAGCTTTACTGAAGGATCCTACAAACATCCCCTTTTTGTCACGAAGAATAAAAAGATGGCCAGGTCACAAGTGAGAGAGAACAGGAATGCAGAGGCAACCTGAGAAGCAACACTTCGTATCAGTCCATACACTGACTAGATCGCTTTATGTATCAGAATAGCCTTGAAGATCCCTGTCCTAACTCTGCACTAGCTCTGTGTTCTGGCTCTTGGGTTGCTGCAGGCAGCTTGAACCCACTTGGAAATGGAACTCCCATTAATATTTGTTGTAATTTTGCTTATTTCTATTACGGAATTCCTTCTGCAGTCTTTTTTTTGATTTGTAACTGGCTTTACAAGATGAAAGTTTAATAAATTATTGGATTGCACAGGCTGTATTCAATCACAGACGTTGTGTGCTCATGTTAAGATGTTTATTCGCAGATCTAACACCCAGAACTCGCAAGTGAAAGGGAGGCATCACTGGCATGCAGAGACAATGGCCCTCCTCTCAGAAGCAAATTTTGCTTTTGTGGCAAATTATAGAAAATCGTTTGCTGCTACGGTGGGGGAGGCTTGTTTCCAGCTTCTGTGGCTCGCTGCAGGGCTGAGCCGCACCCTCAGGGAGTGGGAGATGTCCCACGTGAGGTCAAGAGAATGGTTCTGGGGTGGTTACTGTGGTGAAAGCAGAGCAAGGATTGAATCACCTCCTTAGTGCCTGTCTGGAGGATCAGCTCCATCCCTTCTCTTAAGCATCTCCAAAGTCACTAATAACAGAAAAATCACTTCTAGTGCAAATAAGCTGCACATCTCGTACAACAGCATGATCCGGGCACAGTGTGTCCGTGTCGCTGAACGGGTAAATGCCGATGGAGGCAGCTGAGCTGTCAGCAACACAGACAGACTATGCTCAAGCAGACCAAATTATGGTTTATCACCCTGCCAGGGTGAGGCACAGTCCCTTCTGGCCTCCACCCTACTATTTCTCTAATAGCTAATTCAAGTTTGTGTGCTCTAGTGTTTATTTTATATGAAACGGTTTCAAGCCAATGGGTATTAGAGTCAGGCCTTGCAACAGGGTGCAATTTATAATCGGCACCTACACAGCAAACATAAAAGGATTTATAAACAAAATGTCAGCCCCTAGTAAGTTATATCATAAGCACATGTAGCTTGTTATTAAACCAGGTTGACTGTAAACTTCCCAATGGGTATTAGAGTCAGGCCTTGCAACAGGGTGCAAAATTTATAATCGGCACCTACATAGCAAACATAAAAAGATTTATAAACAAAATGACAGCCCCCTAGTAAGTTATATCATAAGAACATGTAGCTTGTTATTAAACCAGGTTGACTGTAAACTTCACCTGTTTGTTTACACCTTGCTCTAAACCACACAGCCTTTCCCCGTGCAGGCTCTGCTGTGTATCACTACTCTGTGCAGCGACTTCAAAATGTTATGCTCCCTTGGGCATTTAAGCCAATCTCTCACACATCATTTCCAGCCCCCAACATAAAATATAAGCTCCTGAATCTGAGGACTGCCAATTGTCTAAGCTTTTGTCCACATTTTACACCAGGGATTCCTAATGCTGCACTTGGCTATATGCTTTGGCCCCACGCCACCGTCAACACAGAGGTGGTTGCCGAGAACTCAAGTGCCAGTAAGATTCACTTACCTCTACCCTCTTCCCACACAGCCGTGTGCTGGCCAGCCTCTGGAACCCCAGCGGGGAGGACTCACGCTGTACCTGGACTCTGCACCGTTGTGGAGCCTGGATGCAACCAAGAGCAAGCACATTACGCTGGAACATCTCTGCTTCCTGCCAGCCATGTGCTACCACCCGCTGCCCCGTGGGGTACCGCTGGCTGGAGGGAGCCCAGCTCCACCTCCTGCTAACGCTGCACCCAGGGACACGTCTGTGGCCTCAGGCCTTCCCCAGAATGCTGGGATGACTCAGAATGACCCATACAAACACGTCCTTCCTGTTGTAAAAGTGACTCTCAATGAACCAATGTCAGCCTGTCAGTATAAATTCAGCTGGTTCTGTAACATTTTAGACTTAGCACAGTTTCTGCAAGTCCACGAATGGAGCACACATCCCTAGGGGCAACTCACCTGTCTTGCTTCTTCCTCCTGCTGCAGCATGAAGCAACTCAGCTGTGCCTGGTCGCTCCTTGCCAGGGTGTGCCCAGGGGCACAGCAGTATTTAAACCAGGAGCCTTCTCCCCTCAGTTCCCCTGGGAGGGCTGCATCTTGGTAAGTCATCCTCTCTGAGCAAAGTGATGTGGAGGAAGACCTGTGATGAGCATTCAGAAGCAGAGCTAGTCCTGCCAGGTAAGACTGATGTGGGGTGTCAAGGTGCTAAATCCATGCAATGGGAGAAGCCTTGGTTGAAGGAGGAGGGCAAGTGTGTGGGGAGTCCTCTGGGGCTGCAAGAAGGGAGTGTTGGCTGTTGCCCACAGCAAACTCCTCCTTGTTGTGCTCTAAGTGCTTGGGCTGGGGTAGAGAGAGCAGCTCTCTTGCCTGACTGCTGCAGGTTTGTTGCTCACGGAGGAAGGGAACAGACTCACCCTGCCAAGCGTGCGCAATCGTGGTGTGATGGGATGCTCTGGCTGTCCTGGCTCGTCCCTGGCTGGTGGTGTGGGGCTGTTGGCACTGCCCATCCTTGCGGGCTCGTGGCTGCGCTCGGCTGGCTGCCGCTTTTTAGGAATTTGCGCTTTCCCAGCAGCTTGTGCTGGTGTAAGGCTGTCTGGTTGGCTCTTGTGTCTGTAGTGGTGTATTCATCGTTTGGTGGCTTTAATTGTCAGTGTTGCAAAGCCTGGTATGAGACAGAACTAGTACAAAGTAGAACAGCAGCTGCAGGAGACAATACAAGACAGAAATTTTAGGAACACAGTCCCTTTCCTCACAGTAACTCGCGCTCCAATGTCTGGGTAAAGGTGCCCTCCGTATTACCTACAGACATCTACAATCCACGCTTTCCCTTGACACAGCACGCTCTTTAAATACCCAGATCAGGATTAGGAAAACAAAAACATTTCAGTGGAATAGAAAGCAGTTTGGTTGCTAATGGGGATGACATTCAGCCATGAGAATTATTTGTGAAATCATCCCAAACTACTACTTTGCAGGTTTAATTTGCACATGCACGCGAGGCTTGCTAGTTTTTACAAAGTATAAGCACATTTTTGTATAACTGTCTGTTCTGTATCATCTGTCAAAGGGAAACTATAACACATGACACTTAAAAAGAGACGTTTTACAGAAAACACGAGTAGTACTCTTACCAGCCATATGAATGTTCTGAGGTACCGCATGCAGAAAAAGATCTTTGTTCTCATTTTTTCTAACAAAAAATGTGTAGACAACAGGCCAGTATAATGAAGAAAGCACACTTTGCAATAATTATTTTCTATCACTGAAATTCCACTTTCTTAAAAGCTGCCTCGGAGTAAATTACTCTATTTACG